ACTGTCCCCGCTGTTTAGTTTAAATTTTCCTTCAGAAAATCTGTGAATTTATAGCTGAGTAACTCAGTCCCTTTCTTTGATGGATGCAAACCATCTCTTTTGTACATCTTTTCATTGGACCAGCTACAGACATCGTGACTAATATATCCAAAGCCTTCCCCTTTACACCACTCCTTTAGCCACATATTGAATTGTGCTACGCGCTGGCCTTTTCCATTTTGCTCCTTATACACTGGTAAAACCTCTGAGAAAGTAAGCCTACAGCCTATTCTGCTAAGTTCCTTCCCCAAGCTCTGGAAATCATTCTGCACAGAGAGTACATCTTTTTGGGACAGAAAGATAAAGGGTTAACTTTTCACATAAAGACAAAAACCATTTTGTTTTGAGTTTGGCTTTAATATACTTATGTATTTGGCAATTGTAGTTTGTAAAGCATTGTATAAATCAAGCCAATTTGTGATTTAGTCAAATTGTCACTAAAGAAGCCATGATTTAAGGTGATGTAGGAGTTCAGACTGAATTGTACAGTTGTTGTTTATCTAGGTAAACCAGCAAGAGAAATTACTCTGAAGTGTAAATGACATCCTTGCTTTGTCCAACAGCAATTTTATTTCAACATGTTCAACTGTGCTCCAATTTTGCTTTTAGGTTAAACTGGTGACCTTGGTTCATCACATGGGAGGGATTATTCGGCGGGACTTCAGTTCCAAAGTTACACATCTGGTGGCTAACTCTACACAGGGAGATAAATTCAGAGTAAGTGAATTTCAAATTTCCATTAAGGGTTTAAGTGAAGATTTTTTTTGGAAGATACCAGAATATTTGGTTCATTGAGAATAACAACAAACACAACAAAACTTTTTTTTTTTTAAAAGAATAATATTTCTGTAATTCAAGATTTTAAAGCAATGAATGGGTATTGAATTCAGGGTCTAATAGTGAAAGCAGCAAGGGGATATAGAAATAGACTTTTGATCAATGGATGCAATCTGAAAATGCTGCAGTGATATTTATAAGCCTCATATGTGAGTACAGCCACGAAACCTGCCATCAGTGGGGGAGACGTCAGCGGCAGCTCAGGAGTTCTTGGCTTCCATGACGGCCTTGGACTTGACCCAATTAATACAGGCCCCCACTCACACGGGTGGACACACGCTGGACCTGATTTTTGTCTCAGGCCAGTGGCAGAATGATCTGGCATTAGGGGAGATAGTCATTGAGCCCTTGTCATGGTCAGATC